TAGCTATTGAAATGAATCGTTACTTGGTTAGACTATGTGCAAGCGTTATTTTTGGGGGGAGAAGCATATACCCACCTATCCCTCTCCTCCCAATAACCACACTAAGTGTGAGGAGCTGTTCTGCCGCTCCCAGCAAGCTTCATTTTCTTCTCTTTTCCCCCCGCCCCCTGGTGTGTGTTGTTTTTTTTTCACATTAGAAGCTGGGAAGACAAAGGTGCTTGATCATGCCGTCCTGCTGCAAGTGATTAAAGAACAGCAGGTGCAGCAAAAGCAGCTACTAGACCAGCAGGCGAAACTGCTCGCTGTGATTGAAGAGCAGCATAAGGAAATGCACCAGCAGAGGCAGGAGGAGGGAGGTGATGAGAAGCCAAAGCAAGGTAAGGCCGGGGCTAGAGAACACCTGCCACGCTCTGGGGTTGGCACGTGCACTGTGGAGAGGGGAGAACTGCTGTTGGGCATGCACTAAAAAAGAGCTTTCATTTATTTTTCTGCAGCAGAAATACCACAGGAGCCTGGTCTGCCTCTTGCAAAGAGCAAAGAGGAAGAGGGCCGAGATGGTAAAGCAGATGTTGCTGCAAAGCACCTCCCTAAGGAGATATTGGAGCCTCCTCAGCCAGGGCCTGGCAATCAGCTTGGTAACTTAGCAGAGCGACACCAAGGGAATGTGGATGATCTGGAAGAGGCTGGGCACAGACCTAGAATGAAGTTTCCAGTTCAAGTCAGTGTAGCTGGGCCTAAAATTCCTGAGGCTCTTCCTAAGGGTGGGAAGGTCCCACAACACAAGGCGAACAAAGTTGTTAAAAACTCTCTAGAGAACTTAGGGGATCCACTTCACAGCGATGATTCACAACATGCTAATGATGTCAGACATGCAGTCCAGGCAGCAGGAAACCATCCAGAGAAGCCCGCAGCCAAGGAACTGGGGGGAGGCCATGAAGCCAAAGCTGTGGGAGATGGCCAAGAGAAGAAGAAGAGTGCCCTGGAAGCTGGAGAGGTGTTGGCAGGAGCAGTCGCTGACACCCAGAGAGAGCTGCCAAGGGCTGTCAAAGCTCAGGAGGCAGCAGGGAAGGGTCCAGAACTAGCAAATAAAGAGGAGCCCAAAGATCTGGAACTTCCAGTGGACTCTTCAAATAAACTGCAAGTGGTGGAGAACGTGCAGCATAAACAGGAGCATCCAGGAACGGGAAATGACGACCAGGCCGAAGGAGCTGGCAGCAAACAGCAGCAGGTCGATCAGGCTGGCAAAGTGGAGGCTAAGAAAGAAGTTCTCCGGGGAAAGGCAGTGGATGTGGAGCAGGATCCTCAGGGAAGCCACTTGAACAAGCAAAAGGTCCTGGATGAAAAACTTCTCAAAGATCCTGCTGAGAAGAATGCCTTTGAGAACGACGTTGCCTTAAAGCGTGAGAAGGGAGCAGCGCCCCCTGTGGATCAGAAACCAGACCAGGAGAATGTCAAACCAAACCGGGACCTGAAACTGCAGGCTGACTTGGACCTCCGGAGAAGGAGACGGGACCTGCCGCCTCGCCTGGAGGAGGAGACTGAGGCGAGGGAAGGAGTCATCATTGGTCTCAACCCCCTTCCAGATGTGAAAGTGAACGACCTCCGCAGCGCCCTGGAGACGCGATTAAACCAGGCAGCGGAAGGCATCCAGCAAGTGGTTCACAGTCGGCAGATCAAACAAATGGCAGAGGAGGAGGTGTGATGAGACCCGGCCTTGCTGTATTGGTGGTGAAGCCGTTATCACTCCTAACGTGTGCAGTATCCAACGTTCAGCTTAGCAAGCGACCATGTGGACTCCAGTTGCATACGCAACTGCTGACAATCTAACCCAGCAGCACTTCACTTGGACTGGGTACCAACAGTCCTTGGGCTGATTCTGACCTCAGACTACTCTCTCCATGGAATTGGGGGCTGCCACGGCCCATTCATTTACTTCAGTGTTAACGTCCTGCCCGTGTTTGTCATTGGGGTGACTGGAGAGTCAGTGACCCGGAAAGAGAAGCTCCGACTGCCCTCTGGCTTTCGAAGGTCCTCCCCATTCCCAAAGGATCTGTTCTGTTTGGTTCATGTTGAATTGCCTCGTCCATCCTGCCCCAATTTCCCCATTCAGTATCGAGGCACATCCCGGGCTGCTCAAACCATCTCCTTGTAAATGTTTCCCAGTAAGTGCATTGAGTTGCTTAGTCCAACTTATCTGGGCCTCGAGAAGGGGAGCTCACCATGGCTCCACTTCTCCTGGAATGTTGCAGTCTGTGTTGAAAATACGTCCGCTAGGACTGGGTTAGCCAATTGTTGGGGTACGTTTTTCTCAATGGGAAGCCATTCCGTCAGCCTTACGTGGTTGGGCTGAAGTTTGTGCTAGGAATATCAGTGTAGTTAATGTAAGATGCTGCCTTAAACAGGCACAACGGCTACTGTTGTGCTGTCTCTTCTTCCCAGGGATCATTCAGTTGGCCACATACTAGCAATAATGAAGAGCTTTACCTTCTTCTCTTCCTTGGATGTTACGTTTCAGATTGTGCTATTAACTACGGGCGTATTCCTGCCCAAAGTGCATTAAGGGGCTTGTGCTGGGAACTGCAGACTCCCTTCTTCCCCTCTCAAAACAGCTTGAGATTTGCGGCAAGTAGCAGCAGATATCAGGGAATGAAACTGAGTGATTTTGAAGGGACAGGTTGTCTCAGAATTGTACCTACCTCTCTTCTCCCTTTGCAGAGTTCATGTAATGTTTGGTATAGTTGTATCCCCCAGAGCAATTCTTCAACGTGTGATTAAATCCATTGAGGTCGGTAATCAAGATTCTTGGGTAATGTATACATGAGCAGAGGAAGGAAACGCTTAAGAAAATTGGTTTGTTTCAAGAGTCGGGGATCAGTAGTAAATTTTAAGGTATGGTAAATGAGATTGCCAAATGTAAGAAAAAAAATCCCCAAGCTTTCACTAGAATGATTGAATTTCACCCTGCCAGGGGCCTGTAGACCTCAGCAGTGTCAGGTTTTTTTATACTGGAGTCCTTTGGTAACTCCTCCTTATTTAATTCATATCAGATTAACCTCTTGGGAACGGGAACTACGTAACTGTTAGGATGAGGGCTGGTTACCAAGCGAGAGAAACTCTAGGGGGGTGACTCTTCCTTCAGACTAGAGAACTCTGAGCTCCTAAAAGGGAAGAAGAGTATTGGGACTTGTCTTTAAAGTCAGCCAATTATTTGAAGTGCTTAAATCTCTGTGGCAGCTGTATGTCTTCAGGAGGGGCGTTTGCAGACAGGATTGCCATAGCTGGAGTTCCTCCATTACTCTGTCTCAATTAACCCATATCTGGTACATGCTGCTCTGGGGCAGGAGGCCCTAAAATGGCCTCCGTGGGATTGCTGGCGTTTGTGAAAGTCAGATGCAGGTCAGACACTCGGCTGCTGGTCCCAAGCTTTCAGTGCAGTAGTCTTCTCTGCTAGTGGCCAAAGCTAGAGTCTGCCCCCTGCTGCAGCTATAAAGGAGCTCTGGGGGTGGGAACCAAATACTCCCCCTGCTTGCACCTAGCTTGTGTACAGGTATCTCCCCTGGCCTGTCAGCTTTGTGTTGTGAACCTGCCTGGCACAGGGATCACTGTTTCTCTTATACCATGCGAGCAGCAGTTTAGGGTGACCATGTGCTGCTGTTGAGGTGCCTGCCGACCACAAAGGGACCAAAGATAATTCTGACATGCCTCAGCACCTGGATCTGGCCAATACTGATGAATTTTTGTTGTGAATGAGAGATTCCCAGCTGGACAAAAGCAGGGAACTTCATTACCTCTCCGTGCTAGGACCAACTTGTATCTGCAGTGCTCAGGGGAATGGCGGAGGAGTGGCCAAGCCAGGCAAATCAATAAAATAAGTTAAAGCATTCTGATCTGACCTCTTCTTGCTGTAACGAGCAACATTAAGCCGCTCTCGGCCCTCGGGGGACAGTTTCTGCTGTCTGGGATGGGAGTGGTGCAACTGAAGCCCTGCATGTGCTCTGTACTTATCCTTAAGGAAACTGCTCATTCTGGTATCTCCCCTGCCAGGTAAGTATCCCCCTGCCATTGCTGCAGCTAGTGGCTGGAGAAAATAAGCAAGGCTCCTCCTTGCTGTGAGGGAAGGGAGGGTCTCCCTATGTGCCCTGAAATGGGAGATTTCATGAAGTGCCACTTGGATTGTTTAGCTTCAGGGTGACTGCAGTGTGAAGCGGGGTGCAGCTTCCAGCGGGCTCATGCCCCAAGCAGCGACAAGGATCAAACCTGCTCTTAGAGTGCTTTTCATTAGCTAGCACCTCCCTTCCTTCTATCAAGCTGCAACTTGGATTTACTCATCCTAGTACCCCGCATTTCCTCCCTAGCGCTATGCTTAACCCTCTAAACTTAAACAGTGTCCTTATGCTACTTCAAGGACCACGGCAGCCTGGCAGCCTTGAGGTTAACATGACCCATTGGCCTGAGCTGGGATGAGGAGCGTACACTGCCAACCACTGAAGTGGAGCTGAGCCATGGTCTGTAAACTTGGCCCATTTCTCCCCTCCTCTTAGCAGTTTCAGTGCTTAGGTTTTCAAAGCTGCAGTTTGAAAGCCTGTATTCACATGGGAAGTGGAGGTTTAGCAGCAAGGTTCCCAGCTGGAGTGGGGTAGCTCTTTAGCATACCATGGCTTTAGCTGAATTCAAGCATTAGTCATAATATGGGCAGAGATAATGAAATCCTGTGAGCTAAAGCAGAACCCTCTCTCAAGTGACCTATTCTGTATTTCTGCCCACCCTAGCAGTTCCTATGACTGTGTGGGAAGGGGAGATGGAATCCTAAATTCTCCGGACAGCCACATGACAAAAATCTATAACAATAGGGCCATCTGAGAGTAGGCTAAATATACTGCAGCAAACAAAGGGAGTGTAGCCACTTGTTAGAACAGAAGCTTAGTTTTAGTGCAGTTTTTGCTACCCTTTCCAGACTGCATAGTTAAATTGTAGAATAAAGAGCAGGTCTTAACACTGACTCAGATTTGAGTTTTATTTAAAAAAAGATTCCAAACATCTATTTACATGCATTGTTTGAAACAGCTGAGGGAGGAGGGTGCATGAAAGAGAGTTGATTATTCCATTATTAGGCTCCCATTTCCTTCTGATCTAATTCTAGATTATGCAGATTCTTCTGTCCTGGAACTACTTGATTATAGCTGGACAGACACCAGCCAGGAACTGTAAATCTAGATTCCAGTCCCCCCTGCATTGTTACTAATGCCTTCACTTCATTGTCTTCTTTGCCTGTAAAAAGAAGGGAGTTAGATAAGCTAGGAGGAGGAAGATTGGTGTTTTCTGTTTACAGAATGCAGTTTCTGCTCTGTTGTGAGGACTTTGCCAGAGAAGACCCCCCCACCCCCACCCCTGACCATCAGAAACTATCACCATGGAGGGGGAAACGGCTCCTATCTACTTCTGTACTTCTCCTATCCCATCGTGTCCGAGTGTTTGAACGTTTGTTCATTCTCACAGCTTCCTGGGTCTTGAGGGGCAGCGTCATCTTGTAGCACAGGCTGTAACTTGCTGAGTCACGGCTGAAAATTAACCGATTTCCTGATCCCCCATCTACAGGACTGTCCTTCCCGCGGACAAGACGCGGCACTGGTCCTGCCTGATGTCTTAGATGTCAGGTGCCCTGGGCAGGAGTCCCAGGGCTGAGAATTACTTCCCCAGGCCCGCGCTTTGTCTACGGCACTGCCCCCAAGACGGTCCGAGCACGATAGCGCTGGAGCCGCCAGAAGGGCCCCCCCTCCCCGTTACCCTGCGGGCAGCTCGTCCCGGCAACCTACCGCCTGGGCGCAGCACCGCCTCAGCGCCTCGAACTCCCTGGCGCACGCGCCCCTCCGCAGCGCGGCCTGGCCGGGCCCCGTCGCAGCGACGCACCGCCCGTAGGCGGCTGCCTGGAACCAGAGGGAGCCGTAGGAGCCGCCGCCCCCGGCAGGCGGAACCGGCGGGGTCAGAGCCCCGCAGCGCCGGGAGGGGACCAGAGGAGGGGGCCGCCGCTCTCCTCCTCCCCCCCCGTCCGGGCCCGGGCCGCCGCTCTCCCTCCTCCTCCTCCTCCTCCCCACCCCCCCCGCCCGGGCCCGGGGCCGCCGCCGCTCTCCCTCCTCCTCCCCCCCCCGCCCGGGCCGCCGCCGCTCTCCCCCCTCTCCCTCCTCCTCCTCCTCCTCCCCCCCCGCCCGGGCCTGGGGCCCTGGCCGCCCCCCCCTCCCCTGCTCTCCCCCCCCGCCCCGCCCGGGCTGTGACCACCGTTCCCCCCCCGCCCGGCCCGGCCCGGCCCGGCCCGGCCCGGCCCGGCCCCACCGTCCCCCCGCCGGCCCGGCCCGCTGGGGCTGAGCCGGGCCCGGGGCGAGCAGCGGCCTGCAGGGGCTGGGGAGGCCCCGCCCCACCTGGTCCCGACATCCCGCCAGCAGCTCGGGGAAACGCCGCAGCCGCTCCCGGGCTCGCAGCCAGACCCCCTGGCCGGACATGGCAAGTCCCTACTCGCTGGGCGCCGCCATGATGGGCCGGGCTCCGGTAGGCTCCTTTCGCTGCTCCTCAAGCCTCCTAGCGCTCTCCCATTGGGCACGGCTATCCACGTGCCACTGCTGTGCTCTGAGAGGTGCAGCGTCCTGTCCATCAGACCGCCCTAGGCTCTGGATTGGTTCCAACTAAACACCGCCCCATCTCGCTTTCTCGTAGCCCTCTCCTACCCTGCCGAGGCTTTGGATTGGTTACGAATAACGCCCACCTTCCTTGTTCCTTCTGATTGGTCCCTTTTCCGACACGGGGGGCTTCTGATTGGACGAGCTGCCGGTTATTTACTTCCCTCTTCTCGTGCCTGCGCAGCTGGCGTCAGTCGCTTCCCCTTCGGGTCCCACCCTCCTCTGGCGCTGATTGGCTGAGCTGGGAGAAAGTCGCGCTCTAATTGGCGGGCAGGGTAGTCTTGGGGCGGGAAGACGAGGGCGGGACGGGTGCAGAGAGAATCATGGCGGTGCCGCTGCGGGACCGGTTGGGCTTCCTGAGCCGGGTACGGGGGCCGGGCTGGGGGCTGCCGCTGTTCGTCCCCTCCGGGGGGCCGGCCTCAGTCGCCTTAGGGGACCACAGGTCTGGGGCTGGGCTAGGGAAGAATCGCGCGGGGGGGGGGTCCTGAGCTGTGATGTCACCACGTTCGCGTGACGTCACCGCGACCCCAAGCTTATATGACGTCATTCCCCATGACGGTGATGTGACGTCACTGCACTCGTCGTCCGTCCCCCCCCCCCCCCCCCCGGCTGCAGTGATGTCTCGTGCTGCCCTGGCCCCCCCAGTGGCAGCCTGAAATGGAGCCTGCTGAGTTCAGGATCCCGGTGTGGGAGGGCGAAGGGGCATGCTGCGTCCTCCCGGGCTTTCCCTGTGCGGCCAGGCACTGAGCGTGGGAAGTCTCTGGTCCAGGGCCCGTGTGACCCGCCCGGTGGTGCTGGGACAAGAGGGGGTCTGTCCAGACTTTGCCCATCTGAGAGACTGTGTTGGCAACTTGCCTGGACCTACAGCAACGAGCCCCTAGTGGAGGAGACGGCAGCTGCTTTCACCCGGGGTGGGAGCTTGGAGGTGACCTAGGCCCAGCATGCGATGCTCCCTCTGGGTCTGAGTGGCAGAGCCTGGGACCTGGCGTCTCCCTGGAGCCAGGCTTTGACCAACGTTTCTCTAGGCTTCACATCTCGTAGGGTGCGGTGTACCACGTCCTTCCCAGACCAGCTGTCCTAGCTTCCCTAGGAGGCAGCTAATGATGGCAGCAGAGAGCTGAGGGAGTTGCTTGTCCCCAGGACTGTGCTGTGAGGGGCGTGGAGGTTCTCTTATGTCTCGGTTGGATCGTGGGGACAGTCCCTTCAGCACATGGACAGTGCGCACTGGAGTTGTGGGCGTGTGGGGGAGATGGGACGGGAGCAGATGTTCTGTTCCAGCTGATATCTCGTGCGCCTGGGGACAGTGTTAACAGTTGGGGTGAGATGTCGAAAGGAGGTTTGGTGGTTCCCTGGGATGGGTCTGCCTCTCTACCTCTGATTGGACAGTGTTGGCTTGGTCTCTTTCAGCTGCCCACTCTGATGAAATGCACCTCGGATGACGACGTCCCATGCCCTGGGTACCTGTTTGAGGAAATTGCAAGTATCCTTTATTCCCAGTGTAAGGCTGGGAATGCAGAGTTGGAGCTGTGTGCGAGAGAGTTGCTATAAGAGATTGTCATAGGTTTCAAGGCTAGTGTCAGATATTTCCATTGCCTGGGTAATAGTTACTAAAAGCAGGGATCACTAGCGCTGTGGAATCACACTCCATGGTGAGAGTGTGGACTAGTGGTTAGAGCGGGAGCGGTGGGGTGGCAGTCTGATACTCCACCTCCCTGTGCCTCAGCTGTCAGCCTTAGGAGAGAAATCAGGCCTGACTCTCTTCCTGGGATACTGAGAGATGGATGGATGTGTGCAGAGTGCTCTGAGGTCTTTGGGTGCAAGGAGAAGAGAATCTAGAGGGACTGTTCTGTTGTGAATCCCAGCTGGAGGAGGCAGGTGCAGCAGGTTTAAGACTCTGGTATTTTGGGGAGTGGAGGAGTACTATGCCATAGGGTGAGTGGGGCAGGGGTTCAGTGAGGCGGAAGAGGGGAGGGGAGACCTGCTGCTCTTTGTTTAGCTGTGATGAGGCTGCATTAGCAGCGATCAAGGAGTGGGAATGGCTCAGGGACTGGCAGGATCCTTTGACCCTTGGAGTCCTCAGCCTTTAACCTGACATCGGCTGCTCATTAGTAATAAGACTGGAGTGAGCGTCACTTCCCTAACACTGCACCCTCCCAGAGATCTCCCACGACTCCCCAGGGAGCAGCCAGTGCCTCCTGGAGCACCTCCTGAACCGACTGCAGAATAACTCCTGTCACGTCAAGCTGAAGGTAACTGGACAGCTGGGCACTGTCAGGGGGAGCGCAGCACCAGGGGCCATCCTTAGGGTGCAGGCAGAAGGTAGGCAAGAGCTCAAGGGTGCTGGGACCGCCATAAGAATGGCCCTACTGGGTCAGACCAAAGGTCCATCTAGCACAGTATCCTGTCTTCCGACAGTGGCCAGTGCCAGGTGCCCCAGACTGAATGAACAGAACAGGGAATCATCAAGTGATCCATCGCCTTGTTGCCCATTCCCAGCTTCTGGCAAACAGAGGCTAGGGACACCATCTTTGCCCATCTTGGCTAATAGCCATTGATGGACCTATCCTCCATGAACTTATCTAGTTCTTTTTTGAACCCTGTTATAGTCTTGGCCTTCACAACATCCTCTGGCAAAGAGTTCCACAGGCTGACTGTGTGTTGTGTGAAAAAATACTTCCTTTTGTTTGTTTTAAACTTGCTGTCGTAATTTCATTTTGTGACCCCTAGTTCATGTGTTATGAGAAGGAGTAAATAACACTTCCTTATTTACTTTCTCCACACCAGTCATGATTTTATAGACCTCTATCATATCCCCCTTTAGTCGTCTCTTTTCCAAGCAGAAAAGTCCCAATCTTATTAATCTCTCCTCATATGTCAGCCGTTCCAGACCCCTCATAATTTTTGTTGCCCTTTTCTGAACCTTTTCCAATTCCGATACATCTTTTTTGAGATGGGGTGACCACATCTGCACGCAGTATTCAAGATGTGGGCATCCCATGGATTTTATAACGAGGCAATAGGATATTTTCTGTCGTATTATCAATCCCTTTCTTAATGATTCCCAACATTGTGTTCAGTTTTTTGACTGCCGCTGCACATTGAGTGGATGTTTTCAGAGAACTAGCCATAATGATGCCGAGATCTCTTCCTTGAATGGTAACAGCTAATTTAGACCCCATCATTTTACATGTATAGTTAAGATTGTTTTCCAATGTGTATTACTTTGCATTTATCAACATTGAATTTCATCTGCCATTTTGTTGCCCAGTCACCCAGTTTTGTGAGATCCTTTTGAAGCTCTTCGCAATCTGCCTGGGACTTAACTATCTTGAGTAGTTTTGTATCATCTGTAAATTTTGCCACCTCACTGCTTACCCCTTTTTTAGATCATTTATGAGTATGTTAAATAGGACTGGTCCCAGTATAGACCCCTGGCAGACTCCACTATTTACCTTTCTCAGTTGTGAAAACTGACCATTTATTCCTACCCTTCATTTCCTATCTTTTAACCAGTTACCAATGTGTGAGAGGACCTTCCCACTTATCCCATGACTGCTTACTTTGCTTAAGAGCCTTTGGTTGTGGACCTTGTCAAAGGCTTTCTGAAAATCTAAGTACACTATATCCACTGGATCCGCCTTGTCCACATGCTTGTTGACCCCCTCAAAGAATTCTAGTCGATTGGTGAGGCAGGATTTCCATTTACAAAAACCACATTGATTCTTCCCCAACAAATTATGTTCATCTCTGTGTCTGACAATTTTGTTCTTTACTATCGTTTCAACCAGTTTGCCCGGTACTGAAGTCAGGCTTACTGGCCTGTAATTGCCGAGGTCACCTCTGGAATCCTTTTAAAAAATTGGTGTCACATTAGCTACCCTCCAGTCACTTGGTACAGAAGCCGATTTAAATGATCGGTTACAGACGACAGTTAGTAGTTCTGCAATTTCACAGTTGAGTTGCTTCACAACTCTTGGGTGATACCATCTGCTCTTGGTGCCTTATTGCTGTTTCATTTATCAATTTGTTTCAAAACCTCCTCTAATGACACCTCAATCTGGGACTGTTCTTCAGATTTGTCACCTAAAAAGGATGGCTCAGGTGTGGGAATCTCCCTCACATCATCAGCCATGAAGTCCAATGCAAAGAATTCATTTAGTTTGTCCACAATGGCCTGTGACCTGAATGTTCCCAGGAAAAGCGGGGACTGAGGCTGAGGCAGGGCTGATCAGCGGGGATGCTGGTGCCAGCACCCCCCTGGTGTAAATGGGGAGGGGCTGGCTTCCGGGCATTCCTAGCGAAGTCTCTGCACTCGCTCCCTCCACCTGGGTCCCCGGCCTGCCAGAGTCTGGATCTGGTGCTTTCCATCACCCCCCGAACAGTTCTGGTCTGGTGAAAGGCAGGCAGCCGAGTGAGTCCCCATGTGTCCAGTTCCAGTGGCCCAGACTCTGCTCAGCCTCTCCTGTGTCTCCAGGTGCTGAAGATTCTGCTGTACATGTGCACGCATGGCTCTTCACAGTTCCTCCAGCAGCTGAAAAGGAATTCCACCTTCATCCAGGAAGCAGCAGGTAACAGGGCATCTGGGCAGCCGTGGGGCTGGGCTGGGGTCAGCGCCATTAGCAGGAGAGAGACCGGCCGAGGGCAGCGCTGTTCCAACCTTGCACTGACTGGGGAAGGCACTGCGGAGGGAAAGGCCGCCAGCCCCAAATCCCACCGGTGCTCTTGATTTCCCTGCTGCCGGCTGTGAGCTTTGTGCAGCCGTCGGGGGGTTCAGGAGTGCGGCTGGTACTGCAGGGTGACGTGTTGACTGCCCGGCACACCCCTCTAGCTGCACCCGGGCTGTGTTAGACCTTACACAGCTGCACTAACCCAGCCCTTCCTCACTCTCTGCCTTCTAGTGTTCGCGGGGCCGCCAGATCCCCTGCACGGCAACAGCTTGTACCAGAAGGTCCGAGCAGCAGCACAGGTGAGTGAGACCCTGCTCCACCCAAGGGACTGACCCTGGGGAGAGGACTCTGCAGGGGTCGGGGGAGTTCAGGGCACCCTCCCGCCCCTGCTCCAAGCACTGGCCAGGGATTTGCTGGAGCTGGCTGGGGGCCCAGTGCTCTCTCACTGCTGTGACCGTCCGTTCTTTCCCTGTAGGACTTGGCCAGTGCTTTATTTTCGGATACCTTGTTGCCCCCGCCCTCTGCTCAGCCCTGCAGGCCACTTCCCCCAACAGGTAAGCACCAGCCCCCTGGTGTGCGCCCTCCCCCCCACCCCCCCACTCACAGCACTGCTGGGAGGTGCTGAGCTGGCAGCCCTGGAGAAGGGTGCTGGGGGGGGGGGGGGGGGGAAGAGGCTGATGGCAGCTCCTTATCCTCAGGGCAGGTGCAGCTCAGACAGTAGCAGGGCAAGCTCCCCCCAGTGCTGCTCCTCAATGAGGGGAGTCCTGGGGAGGGGCGTTCGGGCTCCGTGGGCAGTTCACTGGTTCGCCCTGTAACGACCCTGCGCTGCTTTCGCTCCCAATCCTGGGAATCCCACTCGCCAGCGGAGCTGGGGATCGGTCCTTGCCCCTGCATCCTCCCAGCTGGTGGAGCTGCTGTGGCCCCTCTGCAACCCACCCACCCAGGGAGCCTGGGGTGGGAACTCAGGCAGTGCCTCTCGCATGGCAGGACAAATGCATCCTTATTGGGGGCTATGGAGGTGCTGGCAAAACAGGGAAAGCAACGGCCCTTGTGGCTCCTGTCGGGTGGGTGCCATGGGGCTGGGCAGCGACTCACGTCAAACGGAGGGTCAGGAAATGGGGTGGGGGCTGCAAGGGGCATTAGGTGCCCAGCTGCCATGGGGAGTTGGTGGGAGTTGGCACCGGGCTCCCTTCAGCCCCTTGGAAAATGCTACCTCTAAAGGTCACAGAAGCAAGGAGCCCTGCAGCCTTGTGTTCCTGCGGCGGCTGGGTAGGGGCTCCAGGCTGCGCTTGCTGGCCTCCCCAGCACCACGAGCATTTCCCCACCAGGGGGCAGAACCCATTGCTATCCGAATTTGATTTAGAGTTAGACCAAAGTTAGCTGCAGTTGCGGCCTGGCTCTGTGCCCCCTGCAGAACCGGGGCTGGCTGTGTCCAGCCCTTGGGCAGCGGGACGGGCACCCCGAGTGTGGAAATCGGCAAAGGGGGCACAGCATGGGGAGGGGACCCTTGATCTCTCTCTCTCTCTCTGAAACGTGCTTTGTCGGTCATAGGAATGGGCTCCCAGCCCAGCCCCTGCAGCTCCTTGCAAGGCTTTGGCTTCACGAGCGAGAGAAGCGGCTCCCGTAAGTGCCGTCCCCAGGGCCCTGCTCCGCGCCACCCCCTCTGCCACCTCTCGGGGGTTTATCCCAAGGCTCCCAACTAGGGTGACCAGATGGGCCGATTTTATGGGGACAGTTCCGATATTTGGGACTCTTTCTTATATAGGTGCCTATTACCCCCACACCCCTTGTCCTGATGTTTCACATTTGCTATCTGGTCACCCTGCTCCCAACAGCTGGTGCTTTTTCTTGCATCCTCCGCTCCTAGGGCCCGGGATAGAGAGGTTCTGCAATCATTTAAAACAGGAAACCAGTTTTTAGCCCTGGTCACGGCAGAGCAAATCTCGCGACCCCAACCCGAATGCCCCCGCGTGTTCACAAACCAAAGGGCAAAGAGCAAGAACCCCACGTTTATTATGTGAAAATAAAGCTCCGGACTTTCCAGCCAAGCTGGTGATTTCTGGGGCCTGGCTCGTGGCTTTTGAACACTCTGGGTTGGCAGCTTTCATGCGCTGCTGAGAGGCCTGGACGGAAGTGCCATAGCCCCAAAGCAGGCACTGCCCAGCCAGCAGCAGTGTGAACTCCCCTGTGCCCAGCCCCTGCCATTGTGCCTTAGCCCCGACCCAGGGTCCCTGGCTGGGGGTGAACGGGCACTTCAGTCTCCCTGGCCCATTCAGTCCTTGGCGTCCCTGCTGAGATGCCTCTTAGGTGCCCAGTTCGTGCCAACTAGCATTGCTCCAAATTGTGCGGGGCAGTTCTAGGCAGCTCCCTAGGGAAGTAGCCGTGGGCATATTTCAGGAGCTCAGGCCTGGTGGGGGCTGGATTCTGAGACCACTTGTTGCCAGGGAGCAGGCAGGGTTGCTGGGCTAGGAGAAGCTCAGGCCTCCCTGAAGCTGGCAGAGGCCCGTCCACCAGCCCAAAGCCCATACAGCCCCTGGCAGGCAACGGGATCCAGCCTAATTCCCCCCCTGCGGGCAGGGTGCCCTAAGGGTGGGTGGCAGCACTGCCCTCGGAGCAGAGGGGGGCTGATCCCTGCACAGAGACTCACGCCCTGGCCTCTCCTGTGCTTGCCCAGCCTCCGCCAGCGAGGCCCTGCTTGCCACCATACAGAAAGCAGCTGAGGTGGTTGCCAGCGCTGTGCTGCCCAGCTCGGAGTTCCCCCCTTCCTGCCCCAGGGAGCTGCAGGACGATGCCTACCAGCCCGTGACGGCACCTTCTCCTGGTAAAAGCTGTGCGGTGCCTCGGAAGCCCCCGGCTGCCGCAGCCCTCAGCATGCGAGGTAGGTGTGTGGGGCTGTGGCGATGGAAAGCAGCTCCCATGGTAGCTCCCGCAGACAGCCCTGGCACGTCATCGCCCCTGCTGAATCAGGGCTCCCGACGCCCCACTCTAAAGATGGACACGTTAGCTTCAGTGACAGAGCTGGGAACAGAACCCAGGAGTCCGGGCCGCCAGTTCCCGGCTCTCGCTGCTGGATGATGCTCCTCCGTGCAGTGGCACTAATGCCTAACGTTCACTGGCTGTTCTCCCTCTCCCCTCCCACCCTTGGGCTCACCGCATGCTCGGCAAATCCTAGGAATTGCCACACTGAAATGCAGCCACCTCTGGGGTGAAACACAGCTGCCATTTAGCAGCACATAACACTGCTCCACAGTCCAGGCCTGGAATAGAAGAGCCCTAGCTCCTATGGCGTGCTAACCATTGCCCGTATGGTGCAGGGGGGGCTGGGTCATGGCAGAGCTGTCTGCCAATCCCTGAAGCAGGCAGGAAGCTCTGGCTCTGGGTGACTCTCTCTTCCTGTTGCCTCTCCTGCAGTGAGTCACCGGCCTGGGCAGGCAGGAGGTGGTTGGGAAGAGACTGACAGTGGGCACAGCTCCCAGAACTCCTCGCAGGAGAACGGGGAGCTGAGCAGGACCTCCGACTCCTGCAGCAAATCAGGCAGCGACAGCCCCCCGGGGGCCAGCAGGGAGCTGGGGAACGTAACTGAGAGGTGAGCCAGAGGGCCCAGGGCTGGGGCCAGGGTGGAGAGAGAGAAGGAGCTCTGAGCTTGTGGCAGGGATGCAGCCGAGGTTAAAACCATCGGGCTCCCCCTTTTCCAGTATCCCTGCAAGTCGCTTAATGCCCCCGCAGCATGGTCTCCTCTCTTGCCGGGCCCTGTTAATTCAATGTCCCCTCTGTGTGCTGGGTCCCCATTTCCCCCCCCTAGTTTTTCAGCTGCCTGGCTCAGTGCACTGGACGTGGAGGTTCATCCAGCCTGAGCTGCTTCACCCAGTGGGGCCCGTGTCTGGGGGCCCTTTCAGCCCCTCATGGGGGGCGGAGCAAGATGACGGCACTTGGGGCTATTGCGTGGCTGCAGCTGCCTGTGTGCTGGGGCTGGTGGCCAGGGTCAGTGACTTGCCCAGGGCTGGCGTTGGTGCAGCATAGGAACGCGGGAGTGCCTAGCACCCAGGCCTGTGCCCAGCTGCACCTCGCCCTCTCTGTGCCCTGCCATGGGGGGGGGGGTCTTTGAGCTGGCAGGGAAGCCTGCTTGCTGCCCCTCCGAATCGGGGAGCGGGGCCAGGAGTACGTCCTCCCGCGCAGGACAGAGGTAACAGGGCTGGTGTCTCCTCCCCCCGGCAGGGTGGAGGGTGACTGCGTGCAAGAGCTGAGCCTGGTGAGTGAGCTGACCAGGGGCTCCAAGGTCTTCCTGACACGGGAGGAGGCCCAACACTTCATCAAAGAGTAAGAGTTCACCGCGTTCCCTCCTCCACACCCGCAATGGTGCTGCCAGGGCACCGGGCTGTGGGGCAAGGTTGTGTTCCCCATCCCTGCCGGGATGCCAGAGAAGACTAGGCTGGGTGTTCTCCAAAGCCCTCTTGGTCGTAGTGTCCCCTGGGCCCCCTGCCCCTTCCTGGGCTGGCTGATGGGCAGATCCTGCCCTCCCTCTGGATCTGGCCGCAGAGCAGGGAGCCAGGAGTTTAGCCAAGGTGCTGCCCCATACCATTTGCCCTGGAGGGCTCACTCAGCGCCCCCCGAGGTGGTGGGGCAGGAAAGTCCCTGGGGGGCGGGTCTGTGCCATCTCTGCAGCCTTGTCTGGGAGAGGCGGAGGATGCCAAGCCCAACCCTGCATGAGCCTGGGAAGCTGCATCCCGCTTGCTGCCATGACCAGGCGCTGCCCCCTCTCCCCAGGTGCGGGCTGCTGAACTGCGAGGTGGTGCTGGAGCTGCTGAGCCGGACGCTGCAGGACCCCAGCGAGCTCGTCTGCATGGTGGGTGCGCGGGGGAGACGCTGCATCCACCCAGCTCACACGTGCTCTGCGGCTCCTGCAGGCCCAGGCAGACGGCAGTTTGGACGGGGCCCGCTGAGCAGCCCGAGAAGCCTCAGGAGTGTGGAGGGGCTCCCTGGCTTCCCCGTGGGAGGAGGTGGCTCGGGAAACGAGCCCGTTTGGGTCACACTGGGATCTAGAGCGGGTCAGCAGTGGCTGTGAGCTGATTCATGCCCCCATCTGCCTGCACTGCTGGGGCACAGCCCAGTCCCTAGTGGGAAAGGGCTCCCATGGCAAAAGCTCCAGCACCCCTTGCCCCGTGGATGGGCACTGAGTGACTGGGCCCTGGAGCTAGTCCTGCCTGGGCTGGGCTGGGGAAACTTGCTCTGCTGCTGCTGTTGGGCCCTGGGTAATCAGGAAGCCCCAGCTCCGCAGGCAGTTGCCCTGGTGCGTGTCATGGCACTAAAGCCATCTCCCTGGGCTAGGGCTGTGGGCTCGGACGAGCTGCCGGCAGCTGCAGTGTCGGCTTAAATCCTGTCTTCTGACCCTGCTCTCTTCTGTCCTTGCCAGAGGTCCATGTGTGCCATATCCTCCCTCCTGTGCTCCGACCTGCTGGCCCATGAGCAGATCTTTATGATTACCCGGCAACACCTGCAGCAGCTCAGCCAAAGAAGCCCTGGGCCCGTGGCCAACAAAGCAACAAAGGTGACTCCTGTGTCTGTCTCACACCCTAGCACAGCCTGCGAGCCTGAGGGACTGGCTCTGTGCTGCCCGGCCAGACCCAGCTACATCCTCCCTGCCTTGGAGCAGGGAGCACAAAAGGGTGGAGGGTCATTCCCACCCCCAGTCCTGGGCTGAACTTTGCTCCTAGAGGAGATAACAACATGCTTCAGGGCACCAGCTGGCGGCTGCACAGGTCAGGAAGGAAGGAATGTTCTCTCCTCTGCAATGAAATATTGCACAATAGGCCAGGTACGTTATGGCTGGTGATCCCCCTGCAAAGCATCAGGTATTGAATCCTGCCAGGCAGGATACCAGTTTGATGTCTGATCTACTGTGCATGGCACACCCCACACTCCTCCAGCACTCCCTGTGTTAGTGCCAGGCAGTGGGGGGCAGCATAAAAGGGCTCCCCAAAATCCCATCCAGCCCCCATCAGGAGCAGGCTGGCAGGGGCCAGCTGTCTGTTGCTGGCCTCTGAAGGCTGCCCCCTTGTGAAGGGGTTAGTGGCAGGGCAGGCCCGCCGTGCTGCACTGACTCCTTGCTTTGTTCCTCCCTTTCCCTGCCAGCTCCTGAGGCAGTTTGAGGCTTTGTGCAGGAGCTGCTCATCTCCCAAGAGATCACAGCTGGACATGGATCCCTCTACTCCTGCCAGGGGCGCCCCACAGCACACGTGTGACTTGCTGACAGACCTCATGCCTCTGGCAGGAGAGACCGTTCTCAAACCCGTGAGCTTAGCTCCTTTCCTCTCGGAGACATGTAAATCCCCAGCATTCGATGTGCATCCTGCAGCTGTGCCCGCCCCTGAGGGAGAGCAGGGCACAGAAGCGGAGATCTGTGAGCAGTTTGGGGCTGTTGCATCAGGCGGTCGGTGCCAGCAGGAGGTGGAGTGCAGACTAATGGGGCCTGAGCCCCAGCTGGATGCTGCCCAGATGGATTCTGGGCCCACACAGATGCTGCATGGCAGGCAGGGGGCAGCCGCACCCCCTCAGAGCCTCTCCCTGTTCGCTGGCATGGAGCTGGTGGCCCTTCCAGGCACAGCAGTAGCCAACTCTGGTGGAGAGGAATGTGCCTCTCGTGTTCCAAGGACACTGCCCTGCACTGGGACTGCCAGCACCAAGGCTCATAGGGGCTCCAAGGGCAGCAGGGAACCTTCTGCGTTCTCCTTCCTCAATATGTAGCAGCTGGGGCAGCAGGATGCTGAGGAACTGGGGTCTCATTTGCTGCGTGTCACTGCTAGGCCAGCACTACAGGGACACTGACTGGCACTACAGGGGCACTGGCTGCTCAGCTCAAAGCGAGGTCTCTGTTCCTTGCTGGTGCTGCCAAGTCCACATCCTGCTGAAGGGGGCTGGCAGGGCCAGTGCTGCTGGGGAGTATCGCGGTGGGGCACAATGAGGAAATGGAGTCCCCAGTTGCTCCCTTCAGTTTGATCCCTGGGGGTGCCCTAGAAAAATCCATGAGCAACCCTACAAAAACAATCCAGCTTGATCCCACCTGTGGGGGGAAAGAGGGAATGCGTCCACGACAGCCAGTTCCAGGCTGCCAAAGTGGGGGAGGGAGGGAGGGAGGATGAGAGTCCCCTTGACTGTACCCCCATGTTAAGGTTGTGCTACAGGGTTAAGGCTTATCATATGTCCTTGGCTGCTCTGGCCTCCTGCTCAGGTCATCCATCAGTGGTAGTCTGCAACACTGCTCAGACCAGGGCCTGGGGCACGCTGGGGAGGGAGGGGCAGTGAGTCCATATGGACTCAACCTCTTGTGCTCTGCCTCGGCCTGTGTGAATGAATGTACTAGTAACTGGCTCAATCACTTAACACATACGTGTGTGTTGCGGGGGGGGGGGTGTTAATGGTACCTTGGAAGGTCCAAGGATGCTGGCTGCCTTTCCCCAGCATAGCACCCACTCAGCCCCATTGCTACTGGGGGAGGGAGGCTCAGTACAGCAGTCTGGAAGCCAGCTTTCCAAAGATCGTTTCAAGGAAGGTGACGCTTTAGGCACCTCAGTTGAAACCACGTGCCCTGCGGGCTTTGGCTGAGCTGCTGCGGGAATCTGTTTGAGGTGGGTTTGGTTTTCCTACTGAGGATCTGATATTGTAGCTACTGAGCTCTTGCCAAATCCTACTGGGCAAAGGGAAGCCAAATTACAGGCACAGGCTGTCTTGGGCAGCAGATTGGCATTTTTTTAGCGTTCACACTTCACACTCGAGTCCATTTTGCTGTGAGAATTGGTTATGTACAAGTCTGTGTGTTGTCCTTGGGCTTATGACATCCAAACCAGCCCACCTGTCCCCTTTGGGCAAATTTGCAACAGGCAAGTTAAAAATCCCTGGGGAAAATCCCTTTCTAGCAATGTCTGATCTGTCCCACAAAAGGGCAGAACTGTGGCAGGGGGCTCCTGCTGTGTGCAAATCACAACCTGCAGCCAGGTCTCTGCTCTCCTACAACATGTTACCATTGCACATCCCTATCTCCCGTCAGCCGATCAAACTCATGCCAGTGTTCTTTTCTCCTGCAACCTGTCTGTGGTCTTAGGGCTGGGAGGGGGGAAGGGACCATTGTCCAAAAAGCCTCCTGGGAGGACGCTCCATGTTTACAGAGCGTGTGTGTGGGAGGGGGTTGCTAATATGACTTTATTAAACACTAAGTTGTGTATATTTAAAGTTCAACTAAGTCTCTTGTTTTGAGGTACAAAGTGTGCTTAGTTATTGCCTGTGTCTCACGTGAAATCTGGGTTCTGCTTCAGCGCACGCTGGGATGGCTTTCCTGGCCTAAGCAGTGATGGGTGACCTCACAGGAGCAAGCAGCTACAGGCTGAAATGTAACCAAATCCCCTGCTAGGGTCTGAGAGGACTCTTCTTCTCCAGTTCCAGAGCTACATAATCTGCTGAGCATCCATATGGTTCAGATTTCCCTGTTCAAGCAGCTGGCTTCTAGCTTGCTTACGCTGAAGGGCTGTTATCCTATGGGAAAGCCTGTAAATTTCCCTCTTCCTGCAGCTTTTGCCACCTCACACTCAGCATACCCTGGCAGGGTTGCCTTCCAGGGCACAGCTGTGCCAGCAGGGTGCAATCAGGAGGGCAGATAGTCTGTATTTCTTTAACAAGGCCCAGAACTGGGGCATAATGATCCCTAAATTCGTGCTCCCTGACGCTCTCCAGAGGAACTAGGTTTGCTATGCACAATTAGGTTTGAAATCATTGAATTGTGGAAAGCTTTCTATTTCCTCTTGAGAACTGGCTGCTGACATATAAATAGTCCCCTGGCATTCCTTCAGGTAGGCTCTGTGAAACCTGGCCCTCTGCCACCCACCATGTCGGTGTGGGGAGGGGGCATTGTGGGCAGCATCTGTAGTAACTGTGTGGTGTCTGTCTGTTGAACTAACCTGTCCGGCTGGCAGACCTCAGAGCACCTGACCTCACAGTGCATCCTAGAGTTGCAGACCCGTGTCTGTACATCAGGCTTTTCCCATGAATTACTGCTCAGGCCTGGTACCATTTCAGAAAAGCCCCAAAGCAACCCAGTTCTCTGCATCAACAGACCCAGTAAAGGTGCTGCATTGATACAAGTGAATCCATCCACCAGCCAGGCTTTTATATAGGGTCCATCACCCCAGTATTTGACAAGGAAGCTGCCAATGATAGTCCGATAAGTGGGGATGGGAAAACAGACTCTCGCCTCAGACTTTTGGCAATAATTTACAATTTGCCACATAAGTGCCAGGATATTGGCAGGAGGAGATTCCTTCTAACTACAACACAGGCTGATTTTACCCTGCTTTACTTGTTCCCTTTGATGTAGGGACTCCTGAGTAAAAATTACATGTAAAAAGTCTGGTCAATAGTGCTCGAGATTATTACATGGGATGTTTTAGCCTCAGATTTGCTTTTAATCACTTCTGCTTTGCTTGCTTCATACATTTCACCCAGGCCCAGGTAAGCCTTTTTGCTGACGATGGCACGTGGAGAGTCATACAGCATCTCTTAAATTTGGAGAGGTGGGGATGGAGTTTAAATTATAAACATTTTTAAATAGGGAAGTTTCTATTTAAAAAAAATCCCTCTCACCTACTGGAAGGCAGTTCTGCCTTCTTATTCTGGAACCTCAGCATGGTAGTGGAGAGCGAGTGTGGGAAGAATTGAGTCCATGCAGGCAACAAGATGAACACAGAAGGCTTCTGTTGTGCTGTGCAGCACCATGCTCTTGTCTCTTTCATTCCCCAAATGAGCAGAGGAGTCCACCCGATTGGCTTATCAGTGTAAAGCCCCCAGCGGGCAATTGCTAGAGAACTTCAAAACAATGCTAACCCTGCTCTGGATGGTCACAAAAGCCCCAGTTCAGTCCCATTATCTTGAATCAGGGACACATCTGGTGCAATGGCTTGTGCTGACTCAGAGGGACACTTTATATCCCACCCAAGCCCCAGAGCCAGCTTTTCTGAATGGGGTGTAGTGTTTTGAAATGTTATACACAAGAGCCCAGAAAGGGGTTGTGATTCAGGAAAGTTTGGCAACCAACTGCAGTAGTGCAAAGCTGCTGTTTGCTTTGTGCCCATTGGAACAGTCACATCTCCAATTTTCTGTTTTGAAACAAAATAAAACCTCGTCTGAAGCTGTCGTCATGTTCGAGAACCTCAAAGCCCCCAGGGTTTTCTTTAGCAAATCTGAAATGTTGAAAAGACATGCTAACCACCTTTGTGTCTGCATGAAGCTGAGCCAATGAATCCAGAGCTCTGCATGTTTCCTAACATGCCTGCCGCTGCAGGATCCAGGGGGTTTATCTCAGGATGAGAAATAGTTAGAGATTCTGAGGGCTCTAAAAGTCTACTTGATGTACATTTTCTTGTTTTAGATATGAAGGCAGCTACTTAACTCTTCTAGCACTCATCCCAGATGAGGCAGGGATCATCTTTGCGTTCTGTGTTTGTATACTGCCTAGCAGAATGGGGTCATGGGCTGTGTCCGAGACCCCTAGGCATTACCATCATATACCTAATGAATAATGTACCACGCCTAGCACAAAGGGGTCTGGGCCATGACTGACTCCTAGGCATTGTGCTGTACAAATAGTACTTAGTAATAATAGCAACCCATAACACGTCTACATGTTAGGAGCACTCCCCAATGTGCCAACATCTTCATGGGTCAACTTGAAGAATTTCTGGACAAATACTCCATGAAACCAGTGACACAGCTGAGATACACGGGTGATATTTTCATTCTCTGGACAGATGACCTAAACTCCCTCATAGATTTCCACATCAAACAAACTCTTGATGTACCAGCATCAACCTTCTGGACACCACAATCAGCTTCAACAATGGGACAGACAGCTATGGACAAGAAACTCACCGATCACTAGGTTTCCCATCACAGATCCAGCAGCCACACCAGTCGCACCAAGGAATCTGTTCTCTGCAGCCAGGTGCGTGGATAGCGCAGCCTGTGTGCCGAGGAGAAAGGCCGGGGCCCAAACCGCATCACACATAAACCCAAATGAGGCCACTCTTCTCCAAACGAGGCCACTCCACCTGAGAAGCGGATTGCATCATGGAACGGGCACCTGAATACCTCAGAGAGCCTGCTTCAGTATGGAGATAAATCCCCCCTGATCCCGCACCCCTCCTCGCCACCCCCACTGGACCTGCACAGGGCATCATCAACCTACACCCCATGCTCCATGGGGACCCCAATGAGATGGCTGCCCCCAGCCCCTCTTCTGGCTGCCCCATCCTGCCCTACCCCTCCTAACCTCATCCCCCTGTGCCACTCTCATCCTACCCAGCCCCGCCTCGCCCCCACCCCTCCTCACTCTACTCCCCCCCCACTCTACTCCTTCTCACTGGTGTCTCTCCTCACCCCACACCTCATCCCACTCCCCCTCACCCCACACCCTGCCCGGCCCCTCCTCACCCCCTGCCTTGCCCCTCTTCGCCCTACACCCTACCCCACTCCCGCCTGGCCCTACCCTGCCCTGCCCTGCCCCTCCTCACTCCATCCCACCCATAGCCCCACGCCTCCTCACCCCATGCCACACCCTGCCTGGCCCCTCCTCACTCTTGTCTCTCCTCACCCCACACCTCATCCCCCTGCCCGGCCCCTCCTCACCCTCTGCCCACCCCACCTCGTCTGGCCCCTTCTCACTCCCTGCCCCGCCTTACTCCACTCCCCTCCGTGCCCCGCCCCTCCCCACCCCACCCCACCCGGCCCCGCCCCTCCCCACCCCACCCCACCCGGCCCCGCCCCCGACGAGGCCCAGCCGCCGCAGGGAGCCAGAGCCCCGCTAGGCCCCGCAGCGCCCCCTGGCGGGCCCTGCAGCCCGCGCTCCTGCCCCAGTCCGGCCTGGCGCCCCCTCCCCCCGGCTGCCGTCTCAACCGAACTCTCTCCCGCGATGCGACGGGCAGCCAAGCCGCCCAGTGAGAGACCAGTGTCTCCATAGCGAGCCAATGGCGTGGCTGGGGAGGCGGGCTCGCGCCCCGCCTGGGTTAGGCTGTTCTTGGGCCGGTTACTGGCGTCCGCGTCTGGCCCCTCGTTTGTTGCGCGGGGTGGGCACGGCCCGAGGGACCCTTCCCACAATGCCCCTGGCTGGGGGGCCTGGGTAGGGGCGGCGGGGCCCCATAGCTCCTGCTGGTGGGGGGGGGGACCCCGGCCCCAGAGCCCCTGCTCGGGGGAGGAAGGCGGAGGGCCCCATAGCTCCTGTTGGTGGTAGGGGGGACCCCAGCCCCATAGCTCCTGCTGGTGGGGGGGGGACCCCGGCCCCATAGCCCCTGCTGGGGGGAGGAAGGCGGAGGGCCCCATAGCTCCTGTTGGTGGTAGGGGGGACCCCAGCCCCATAGCCCCTGCTGGGGGGAGGAAGGCGGAGGGCCCCATAGCTCCTGTTGGTGGTAGGGGGGACCCCAGCCCCAGAGCCCCTGCTGGGGGGAGGAAGGCGGAGGGCCCCATAGCCCCTGTTGGTGGTAGGGGGGACCCCAGCCCCATAGCTCCTGTTGGTGGTAGGGGGGACCCCAGCCCCAGAGCCCCTGCTGGGGGGAGGAAGGCGGAGGGCCCCATAGCTCCTGTTGGTGGTAGGGGGGACCCCAGCCCCATAGCTCCTGCTGGTGGGGGGGGGGACCCCGGCCCCATAGCCCCTGTTGGGGGGAGGAAGGCGGAGGGCCCCATAGCTCCTGCTGGTGGTAGGGGGGACCCCAGCCCCATAGCTCCTGTGGGGGCGGGGGTAGCAGGCCCCAGAGCCCCTGCTGGGGGGAGGAAGGCGGAGGGCCCCATAGCTCCTGTTGGTGGTAGGGGGGACCCCAGCCCCATAGCTCCTGTGGGGGCGGGGGTAGCAGGCCCCAGAGCTCCTGCTGGGGGGAGGAAGGCGGAGGGCCCCATAGCTCCTGTTGGTGGTAGGGGGGACCCCAGCCCCATAGCTCCTGTTGGTGGTGGTGGGGACCCCGGCCCCAGAGCCCCTGCTGGGGGGAGGAAGGCGGAGGGCCCCATAGCTCCTGTTGGTGGGGGGGGGGACCCCGGCCCCATAGCCCCTGCTGGGGGGTGGCAGGCCCCAGAGCTCCTGCTGGGGGGTACCAGGCTGTGTTCAGCTCCTGAGCCCTCCAGAAATTTTTTAAACTCCCATGTTTTAAAATCACTGTTGGGGACCCTTAATTCCCGAGTCACCTAGGGGAGGGTCCCCATCC